ACTGGGTTTCCAGGACGGGACGACAGCAGAGTTCCTCAGAATGGTTCACCGGGTTGGTACGGTATATGAAGGATCGAGCTGATGTCTTGTTTACACTCATCCAGTATTTACGTCGTCGCTCAGCCACCGTCTGAACTATCAGAAATCTACATGGCATTCATTCTTCAGGCACAATTGCCCAAAACTCTACATCTGAGGCTTGTTTATTGCTAAAGCATTAACTCAGTGTGTAGACGTAGAGAAAGAGAAAGTGCCAGGACTCAAATTTCACCAGCCGAACCTTTTATTCTGCAACTGGGGCTTGTGTTACACTCGAAGGAAATTCAATAACACACACCTTCACGACAGGTTTTAGTCTGTAAAACATGATGCATTTGGTTAGACTCTAATCCTGTATTTGTTTCTTTCCTCGTGTTATCGGTTTACAATGAAAACACTTCTGGAATGCTCTCTGAGAAATGTTATTTTGATCATTCTGAAGATTCCTCTTCCTTCCCACATTAAAGGGACAGGTCACCCAGAAACGTTGTTCCACACCACAAGACTTTCGTTCATCTTCGGAAAACAAAGATCTTTTTGATGAAATCTGAGAGATTTACGTCCCTCCATTGACAGTTACGCAACTACCACTGTGACGCATTAAAAGGTTTACAAAGAAATCGTAAAACTATTCTATATGAAGTGAACCGTTTAATCCAAATTTTCTGAAGAGACTTGATCGCTTTATATGATGAACAGATTTAATTTAGGCTTTTATTCATATATAAACATTCATCAAATCAGTTGTGACAAACAGAAGCTCAATGTTCGCTTGACATGCGAGACGCAGCGAGATTCATCCCTGTGTTATCTGTTATACAGTGCTGGAAAGAGTAACAAACTGTACTTAAGTAAAAGTATTGCTACTTAAGTAATAATTTACTTGAGTACAAGTTGAAGTACTGAAAAATAATGTGTCTCAAGTAAGAGTAAATTAGTAGTTTGCTTAAAAACTACTCAAGTAACTATACATTACAAAGTACTTTAGTATTATTTCACAATTATCATTAATTATACTTTAAAAGTCCACAAGTGAGATTCATAGAAGTATTAAACTTATGACATTTCAGGAAATGCCTTATATGGATATGATAACATGCAAATAGAGACATTTTGAAACATGAAGACATGATGATAGCGATAATATATCTGTGTTCATCAAGCTATCTCAGGTATTTTCATAAGAGTGATGTATGTCTTTAAAGGAATAGTTCACCTAAAAAGGAAAATTAGCCCATGATTTACTCTCCCTCAAGCCATCCTAGGTGTATATCACATTCTTCTTTCAGACGAACACAATCAGAGTTATATTAAAAAAATGTCCTGGCTCTTCCAAGCTTTATGATGGCAGTGAATGGCTGGAGAAAATTTGAAGCCCAAAAAAGTGCGTCCATCCATGATAAATGTTATCCACTTTTACTCCAGGGGGTTAAAGGTGCAATGTGTGATATTTCTGAGGATCTGTTGACAGAAATGCAATATAAGATCCATAACTATGTGTTCAGTGGTGTATAAAGACCTTACTCAATGAACCGTTATGTTTTTATTACCTTAGAATGAGACGTTTATATCTACATAACCAGCGGGCACCCCCTTCTATGAAGGTCGACTTATTGTGACGTCATGTTTCTACCGTAGCTAACAGCGAACACACAGCTCTCATTTGGTATTCGTTCTCATTCTTGTGTTACGCATCACATTTGAGCTTCAGCAAGAGCCAATGAGGTTCATTCTCGTGTTACGCAGCACGTTTGAGCTTCAGCAAGAGCCAATGAGGTTCATTCTCGTGTTACGCAGCACGTTTGAGCTTCTGCAAGAGCCAATGAGGTTCATTCTCGTGTTACGCAGCACGTTTGAGCTTCAGCAAGAGCCAATGAGGTTCATTCTCGTGTTACGCATCACGTTTGAGCTTCAGCAAGAGCCAATGAGGTTCATTCTCGTGTTACGCTGCACGTTTGAGCTTCAGCAAGAGCCAATGAGGTTCATTCTCGTGTTACGCAGCACGTTTGAGCTTCTGCAAGAACCAATGAGGTTCATTCTTGTGTTACGCATCACGTTTGAGCTTCAACAAGAGCCAATGAGGTTCATTCTCATGATACGCATCACGTTTGAGCTTCAGCAAGAGCCAATGAGGTTAATTCTCGTGTTACGCAGCACGTTTGAGCTTCAGCAAGAGCCAATGAGGTTCATTCTCGTGTTACGCAGCACGTTTGAGCTTCAGCAAGAGCCAATGAGGTTCATTCTCGTGTTACGCAGCACGTTTGAGCTTCTGCAAGAACCAATGAGGTTCATTCTCGTGTTACGCATCACGTTTGAGCTTCAGCAAGAGCCAATGAGGTTCATTCTCATGATACGCATCACGTTTGAGCTTCAGCAAGAGCCAATGAGGTTAATTCTCGTGTTACGCAGCACGTTTGAGCTTCAGCAAGAGTCAATGAGGTTCATTCTCGTGTTACGCAGCACGTTTGAGCTTCAGCAAGAGCCAATGAGGTTCATTCTCGTGTTACGCATCACGTTTGAGCTTCAGCAAGAGCCAATGAGGTTCATTCTCGTGTTACGCTGCACGTTTGAGCTTCAGCAAGAGCCAATGAGGTTCATTCTCGTGTTACGCAGCACGTTTGAGCTTCTGCAAGAACCAATGAGGTTCATTCTTGTGTTACGCATCACGTTTGAGCTTCAACAAGAGCCAATGAGGTTCATTCTCGTGTTACGCAGCACGTTTGAGCTTCTGCAAGAACCAATGAGGTTCATTCTCGTGTTACGCATCACGTTTGAGCTTCAACAAGAGCCAATGAGGTTCATTCTCATGATACGCATCACGTTTGAGCTTCAGCAAGAGCCAATGAGGTTCATTCTCGTGTTACGCAGCACGTTTGAGCTTCAACAAGAGCCAATGAGGTTCATTCTCGTGTTACGCAGCACGTTTGAGCTTCAGCAAGAGCCAATGAGGTTCATTCTCGTGTTACGCAGCACGTTTGAGCTTCAGAAAGAGCCAATGAGGTTCATTCTCGTGTTACGCAGAACGTTTGAGCTTCAGCAAGAGCCAATGAGGTTCATTCTCGTGTTAAGGCAGCACGTTTGAGCTTCAGAAAGAGCCAATGAGGTTCACTCTGCTGTGGCAGAAGCAAAGCAGCGGGCGTGGGAGAAGTTCGGAGAAGACATGGAGAAGGACTTTCGGTCGGCACCAAAGTGCTTCTGGAGAACTGTCCACCACCTCAGGAGGGGGAAGCGGGGAACCATCCAAGCTGTGTACAGTAAGGATGGGACTCTGTTGACCTCAACTGAGAAGGTAATTGGGCAGTGGAAAGAACACCTTGAGGAACTCCTAAATCCAACTGACACGCCCTCTCTAGTAGAGGCAGAGCTGGAATGGGATGGGGATTCTCATCAATTTCCCTGGTGGAGGTCACTGAGGTAGTCAAACAACTACACAGTGGCAAAGCCCCAGGGATTGATGAGATCCGCCCAGAAATGCTAAAAGTTTTGGATGTGGAGAGGCTGTCTTGGATGACACGTCTCTTTAACATTGCGTGGAAGTCGGGTACAGTGCCCAAGGAGTGGCAGACTGGGGTGGTGGTTCCCCTGTTCAAAAAGGGGGACCAGAGAGTGTGTGCCAATTACAGGGGTATCACACTTCTCAGCCTCCCTGGTAAAGTCTACTCCAAGGTGCTGGAAAGGAGGGTTCGGCCGATAGTCGAACCTCGGAGTCCAGTCTACATGTGTTTTGTGGATCTGGAGAAGGCATACGACCGGGTCCCCCGGGAGATACTGTGGGAGGTGCTGCGGGAGTATGGGGTGAGGGGGCCCCTTCTCAGGGCTATCCAATCCCTGTACATCCAAAGCGAGAGCTGTGTCCGAGTACTCGGCAGTAAGTCGGACTCTTTCCAGGTGAGGGTTGGCCTTCGCCAGGGCTGCGCTTTGTCACCAATCCTGTTTGTGATATTCATGGACAGGATATCGAGGCATAGTCGTGGTGGGGAGGGGTTGCGGTTCGGTGGGCTTGGGATCTCGTCACTGCTTTTTGCGGATGATGTGGTCCTGATGGCATCATCGGTCCGTGACCTTCAGCTTTCACTGGATCGGTTCGCAGCAGAGTGTGAAGCGGTTGGGATGAGGATTAGCACCTCTAAATCTGAGGCCATGGTTCTCAGCAGGAAACCGGTGGAATGCCAACTCCAGGTAGGGAATGAGCCCTTACCCCAAGTGAAGGAGTTTAAGTACCTCGGGGTCTTGTTCACGAGTGAGGGGAGATTGGAGCAGGAGATTGGCCGGAGAATCGGAGCAGCGGGGGGGGGGGGTATTGCACTCGCTTTACCGCACCGTTGTGACGAAAAGAGAGCTGAGCCGTAAGGCAAAGCTCTCGATCTACCGGTCAAGTTTTGTTCCTACCCTCACCTATGGTCATGAAGGCTGGGTCATGACCGAAAGAACGAGATCGCGGGTACAAGCGGCCGAAATGGGTTTCCTCAGGCGGGTGGCTGGTGTCTCCCTTAGAGATAGGGTGAGAAGCTCAGCCATCCGCGAGGAGCTCAGAGTAGAGCCACTGCTCCTTTGCGTCGAAAGGAGCCAGTTGAGGTGGTTTGGGCATCTGGTAAGGATGCCTCCTGGACGCCTCCCTAGGGAGGTGTTTCAGGCACGTCCAGCTGGGAGGAGACCTCGGGGAAGACCCAGGACTAGGTGGAGAGATTATATCTCCACACTGGCCTGGGAACGCCTCGGAATCCCCCAGTCAGAGCTGGTTAATGTGGCTCGGGAAAGAGAAGTTTGGGGTCCCATGCAGGAACTGCTGCCCCCGCGACCCGACCCCAGATACGCGGATGAAGATGGATGGATGGAAGTAGCTAGCTACATTGAAACTACTTTTGCTTTTTTTGAACAACATATATTATAAATAACAGTGTCTGAGGAATGTTTTAAGTAAAATATTTAGTGTTTAAAACAATGCTATACAATTATGATTTTTATTCTTTTATTACAAACAACACTCAAATATCTCAGACTGTTTGTCAAAAGTGCAAAATTGCAACAAATACAACATTGCAAGAACAAAATATACATCCAACGTAAATTGCATGTATAGATTTTTTTCTCAAAAATACCGATTGTGAGATGGTTGCATTTTGGCAAGAAAATACATTGAACAAGCGCTCACATGTGGCACTGACAATGCACGTTAAACTCGCTCACATGCAGTGATGGAGCTCGCAGAATTTACTGTGAAAGAAGAACCTGAATCACAAGCTGCTTGTGAGCACAGTTCGGTTCGCTCCGGATCCAGTCACAACAAATCTATACAGCAATTTAATTAGATCAAAGCCTTTGTCGTGCGATAAACAAACTAAGATTACATTTTTTGTTCAACTGACAAACACGATGGCGCAAACTTTAGTGGTCTTTTATGTTCATTACCAAACTGGCGGACAGATCATGGCGGTTCATTGTAATTAAATCAGAAATAGAAATTAGATGTAACATAGAGAGCTATAAAGCAGGATAATTAATACATTTAAAATGGCCATTAATCACCTGTATGTGCGTCCTTAAATTTTCGCTTGAGGTCTTCTGTACGTCAGTGAACCGTTAGCCGCAAGATGCGTGATTAAACAACAGGTGGCGGTAATGGCAAAACAAATTAGTTTGTAATCTAACAAGAAGAAGAATATCCTTGCATCGCGCTGATTCACGCAGGCTCAACAAAACACAATACAGCTTTTGCTCGCGCTACATCGCTACTTGCTGCAAAAAGTAGTTAGCTACTGGAAAAGCTACACTGTTTAAAAAGCAACTGAGCTACTGCCAAGCTACTGAAAAATGTAGTTAAGTTAGTAGCGTCGCTACTTGTAGTTAACTACTCCCCAACACTGCCAATGAGGTTCATTCTCGTGTTGCGCAGCACGTTTGAGCTTCAGCAAGAACCAATGAAGTTCATTCTCGTGTTACGCAGCACGTTTGAGCTTCAGCAAGAGCCAATGAGGTTCATTCTCGTGTTACGCAGCACGTTTGAGCTTCAGCAAGAGCCAATGAAGTTCATTCTCGTGTTACGCAGCACGTTTGAGCTTCAGCAAGAGCCAATGAAGTTCATTCTCGTGTTACGCATCACGTTTGAGCTTCAGCAAGAACCAATGAGGTTCATTCTCGTGTTACGCAGCACGTTTGAGCTTCAGCAAGAGTCAATGAGGTTCATTCTCGTGTTACGCAGCACGTTTGAGCTTCAGCAAGAGCCAATGAGGTTCATTCTCGTGTTACGCAGCACGTTTGAGCTTCAGCAAGAGCCAATGAGGTTCATTCTCATGTTTCGCAGCACGTTTGAGCTTCAGCAAGAGTCAATGAGGTTCATTCTCGTGTTACGCTGCACGTTTGAGCTTCAGCAAGAGCCAATGAGGTTCATTCTCGTGTTACGCAGCACGTTTGAGCTTCAGCAAGAGCCAATGAGGTTCATTCTCGTGTTACGCAGCACGTTTGAGCTTCAGCAAGAGCCAATGAGGTTCATTCTCGTGTTACGCAGCACGTTTGAGCTTCAGCAAGAGCCAATGAGGTTCATTCTCGTGTTACGCAGCACGTTTGAGCTTCAGCAAGAGCCAATGAGGTTCATTCTCATGTTTCGCAGCACGTTTGAGCTTCAGCAAGAGCCAATGAGGTTCATTCTCGTGTTACGCAGCACGTTTGAGCTTCAGCAAGAGCCAATGAGGTTCATTCTCGTGTTACGCAGCACGTTTGAGCTTCAGCAAGAGCCAATGAGGTTCATTCTCGTGTTACGCAGCACGTTTGAGCTTCAGCAAGAGCCAATGAGGTTCATTCTCGTGTTACGCAGCACGTTTGAGCTTCAGCAAGAGCCAATGAGGTTCATTCTCGTGTTACGCAGCACGTTTGAGCTTCAGCAAGAGCCAATGAGGTTCATTCTCGTGTTACGCAGCACGTTTGAGCTTCAGCAAGAGCCAATGAGGTTCATTCTCATGTTTCGCAGCACGTTTGAGCTTCAGCAAGAGCCAATGAGGTTCATTCTCGTGTTACGCAGCACGTTTGAGCTTCAGCAAGAGCCAATGAGGTTCATTCTCGTGTTACGCAGCACGTTTGAGCTTCAGCAAGAGCCAATGAGGTTCATTCTCGTGTTACGCAGCACGTTTGAGCTTCAGCAAGAGCCAATGAGGTTCATTCTCGTGTTACGCAGCACGTTTGAGCTTCAGCAAGAGCCAATGAGGTTCATTCTCGCGTGTCAAGCAGGTTCGGTTGAGTTTCTGTTTATGTTAGCTTATTAGTGTTTGAATTAAAGCTTAACTTAAATCTGTTCATCATATAATGCGATCGAGTCTCTTCAGAAAATTTGGACTAAACTGCTCAATTCATATGGATTAGTTTTATGATCTCTTTATAAACGTTTAAAGCATCAAAGCTAGTTGCATGTCAATGGTGGGACAGAAATCTCTCAGATTTAATTAAATTGATTTCATTTGTGTAATGAAGATGAACGAAAGTCTTATGGGTCTGGAACGACATGAGGGTGAATAATTAATGACAGAATTTTCATTTTTGGGTGAACTAATCCTTTAAATATGACTAAATGAGGAATCGTTCCCCCCAAAATTTACTCTGTCACTATTTAGTCACCCTCAATCCTATGACTTTTTTGTGGAACAAAAGGTTGCACTTGACCAGGCATGACCCGGAGCTGTCAAGAAACACCACAATTGCAGTCCACATGAGTTGCACGATATATTCCAAGTGATGAACAGGAGACTTGAACTATTATGCATGAGTCGGATGAATATGGGTCACTTTTTTTTGTATTGTTAAATGGAAAAGAGCTGCTTGCAAGAAATATCTCCTTCTGCAGTAACAATGTGCATGAGGGATAAGAGAGAGGGGGAAGAACAAACGAGAAGATTTTTATTCGTGAGTCCACTATTCCTTTAAAAAGCGAGGGCTGACCTGATGATGACGATGATGATGATGATGTTGATGATGTAACGTGTGAAAGGTGAGGTGCCTGTAATGAGGAGAGGAATGTTTGGAATGTTCCATTTCATTAGCGCTCGGTCTCAGATGGGCGTGGAGGAGCCGGAGCACTAAAGCAGGGATTCAGCAGTCCTTTTCAAACGGGGAAATTTCCAGGGATGCCGAGGTGAGTGAGACACGAGCGTGTGTTTAAAGCTCGACTGTTGGTTCTGGACTTCAACACGACTCTACTGCAAATGCGCAAAGCGCGTTTCACGCGTGATTTATTGCGTGTTGCGGGCGGTCTGCTCGTCATCGCGCCGATCATCTTTCACCATCAAACCCAGCGCGACACTTGAGATTTCACCATATCACCAGCACATGTGAGTTGGCATCACTGCTTTATGTTCGTTGCATATGATGGAGTATAATACAGCTTTATATGTGTCGCACCTGCAGTGACTCGCGCTCATCATCATCAACATGTCCAGCGTTCATTCATCAGCAAGACGCTCGCGCATACACAGCACAGGCTTAAACCGGGCCGGGGCTTTGAAGCATTTAACAATGTTGACTTTGCCACAATATTGTGTACAGTCCAAAAACACATATTGTTCTGGTTAAGTCTTCGTCGATTACATTAGCATTTAGAGGCCACGCTCTTAAAGTGACATTTGCTCATGCAGTAAATATCATCTTTCACAGCCGCTTGTTTAGAACCATATTGCATCATATTTCTGGTAAAATAGTGTTTTATAGTTTTATATAGCCCACGAAATGTTCAAAAAATTATTTTATTACTTGGGAACCTTTTGACAATGAATTACCAGTTCAACTGGTCCAGTTGATTGTTCATTAAATTAAGAAAACGTGCCTTGTGTGTGCAGTCTATCACTTCTGATGCAATATGGAAAAAATATGCATATTTAATGAGATGTCACCTAATTTGCAGGCAATCAAAAAATGTGGCAACTTCAGATTTAAACGAAAATTAGCCAATTTACAGTTTTGAGCTCTATTGATCTCTCTATTTTGAGAATGTTTCTTTAGAGGGTTGTGAGTCTTTTTTTCTTGCCAATTTATGGTTTGTGTAGTCTTAAAACAGGGCAGAAAACATGTTAATTCATGTGCATGTTTTCAAAAATGTAAATATTAGCCTATTAAATGAACAAGTCCCCGAAAGAAGCACATTTGCACCAGTGTTAAATTAAAAACTGACACATTTTGCAGTCCATGCATACAGAAATTGTGCATATTGTTATTATACATAATTAAGATTAGTAGTTGTGGTGTGTCCTAAGTCTTAAAAACAAATCTGCCATGAATGCATTAATGATGCATGTATTGTATTCCCACAGATGTGATTTCGCTGCTGTTCGGGAACATGCGTCAGTGCTGCACCACCGTGTGATTGATTTAAACCATGGAGCCCAAACCCGACTGCTGCGCTTCATCGGTGCCAAACTCCCAGTGTGAGCTCAAGCTGAACATCTACGAGACCATCAGCGAGGGAAATGTGAATCAGCTGGAGGGCTCTGCGCTGGTGCGGGCGGGCAGTGACCCGAGCTCATACCCGTCCTCCAAACACCACAGGTTCATCCGCCGGAGCCTGTGGTTCGCGGATCATGACGAGCACCCGCCGGACGACTGCGCACCCGAGAGTGAGGAGCAGAAGAAGATGCTCAGCATTAACCTGCGCACCATAGTGGACCGGACTCTGGCCGGACGCTCCGGTCTCCACGAAGGGTCGAGCACGGAGAGCCAGAAGGGCCAGAAAGACCCGGACAGCACCAGTGCGGATGAGAAGGAGAGAGCAGACCCTAAAGCGGGCTCCACGGATGCGGGGAAGATGAGCATGAAGGCGGCCAGCGAGGAGAACGAGGAGGAGGCTGGGATGAAGGCGATCGCCACCTCTCCAGGAGGACGCTTCCTCAAGTTCGACATCGAGATCGGACGCGGGTCCTTCAAGACCGTCTACAAGGGCCTGGACACGGACACCTGGGTGGAGGTGGCGTGGTGTGAGCTTCAGGTGTGTTTCTGTTGTGGGCATTAACTGTGGCAGTGCCATTGGGCTGTGATGGGCGCTTTGTGAAGCTTCAAATCCTTTGTTTAGAACTAATGTTTCGTGGCGCATATCGAACTCATCGAACGGCAAAGTCATGTTTTTAAAAAAATGTATTAAATGCTTGAAAAACAAACAAACAAAAAAACCATTAACGTCATTGTCATAGCATAATAGGTACAGCAATACTCCAGAGTCCTTCAGTCCAGATTAAGTGCCAAGATCTTAAACACAGACACTGTTCTGATAGCTTTCATGTTTTTAGAGAACTCAACAGATTTAAAATACATTTTCATTTCAAGTTTAAATCTGAAAAAAGGCGATTGCTGTCCTTCAGGTGTGTTTCTGTTGTGTTCATTAAAGGATAGTTCACCCAAAAATGTAAACTCTGTCAGTAATTACTCTTCCTCATGTTGTTCAACCCCGTAAGACCTTCGTTCATCCTAGGAACACAAATGAAGATATTTTTGATTAAATCTGAGAGCTGGATCACTCCTCCATAGGCTTCTTAAGGGATCGAAACTGGCCGGCCCAAAAGTTATGAAAGACATCGTTAAAATAGTCCGAGTGACTACAGTGGCTCAACCTTAAGATTATCAAGCGACGAGAATACTTTTTGTGCGCAAAAAACAAACAAAAATAAGGACTTTATTCAACTATTCATTTCCTTCTCTGTGGGCCTGATATTTCACGTAGTGATATTGCGCAAAGCTTCCCATTAACTGTGGCAGTGCCATTATTGTGCAGTGATGGACGCTTTGTGAAGCTTCGAATCCTTTGTGAATCATTTGTTTCGAGTTATTATTTCGTGGCGCATATCGAACTGCCAAAGTCATGTGATTACAGTAATCTCGGCTTCGTTATGTCATAACTGCTTTGAAGCGTTTTGACATTTCAGTGATTCCCCACTAGGGGGCGATGATCTCTGTTAACCAGTGTCTGTTTTTTTTATTTTTTTTTTACTTTTTTAAAATTAAAATGCATCTTTGGATGTAGGGAAAATGCAACTCATAAAAAGCAAAGGCACTAGACAAATTAAAAGCAAAAACAATGGCTTTTTATGTTTTATACTTTAATTGTGGAGTGCCTTGGCTTGATGTGTTTTTATGAGTCGCATTTGAATAATATAAAGGAAGAGTTTTAGTTCGTATTGATCTGATTAAAGGTGCAGTAAGCAATTTCTGATAAACGCTGTTGATATCTGAAATCACAGAATCAAACACGCCCCACCCTATCTTGATAGCTCCGCCCCCAAATCCATGAACACACTATGCAGCACAGGCTCCTCCCCCTCATGAGTGGACACGCCCCTTACTACTGATTGGCTACAAGTGTGTTTTCCGGTCTGATCCACTTTCAACAGCGTTTCTCAGAAATCACTCTCTGCACCTTTAACCATGCTGTCCATTAAACTAGCCCTACACATTTAATAAATAACATGTGTTATAGACACTTCATATTTAATGCTATTAGATGATTTGTTCATTGTGTTTAATAGATTACACTTTCAATAAAACATTTGCAGTTTTTTTTGTAAAAGTTTTTGCTGCATTTACACCATTCCGACCAGCGTTTGTTGATTCAGAGCGTCGTGTTTCCCTTCACTACTGCGAAAAGACCATTATAAAGTGGTTTGTAGCTGGTCTCCCAGCATAGGCAAGGTGGTTTTCAGAAGGTTTAGCTGGTTGCTTCTGCTTGCTGTAGTTTTGGCTCTTCATTCGCTACATGCAATTCATTCAATCTCAGCTGATCCGAATAACCAGCGGCGATTTAGACCTGAAATATATAATATAATAATCCGATCAATTGGAAAAGCTGAGCATGCAAACGCTTGAATACGGACGTCTTCTCAATCTGATTCAGAAATGCCTTATGATGCTTATGATCCCTAGCCTGTTATAATAAGATCTTTACGTTTACATACGTTTTATTCTTTATGAACATACGCGTGTTTCTTTATAACTGGTCAGTGGATAAGATGTAATGAAAAATGTGAACTGTGTTGCCACTTTTGAGTTGGATTTCTGATTCATTTCGATTGACTGAAGTTAGTGCAAGTGAACTTGAGTGTGTGTGTGTGTTGACCTGCTGCTTTACTGATCAAGCTGTTCATCTGTGATTTACACCGCCAGTGTTTCGTCCAGGTCTCTCTCTCTCTCTCTCTCTCTCTCTCTCTCTCTCTCTCTCTCTCTCTCTCTCTCTCTCTCTCTCTCTCTCTCTCTCTCTCTCTCTCTCTCTCTCTCTCTGTCTGTGTCTCTCTCTCTCTCTCTGTGTCTCTCTCTCAATTCAATTCAATTCAAATAGCTTTATTGGCATGGTGAAAGAAATCATTACATTGCCAAAGCACCCATAACACTATACAATACAAACAAATAAATAAATAATTATAAATAAAAATTAAAATAAATTAATAATAATAAAAATCTTCAATTTTCTAGTATTTATCTCAGTGTCTCTAGGCGTACAGTTGGTAGCTCTGTCCTGCCGGAGGCTCTCTCTTCGTGACAGGACCTCACATATCTGGCAGCCAGGTTTGAGCTCGCTGGGCTTTCTCCTAGCAGGAATGGGAGTTTGTCCATATTCGATTTTTGGGGGAAGTCCTTCTGGTAGGTTGTGAAAAGGGGATAGAAAGTGTCCCTAATGTTTTTATATTTGGGGCAGGATGTCAAGAAGTGCAGTTCTGTTTCCACCTGATTCTCTGTGCAGTGAGGGCACAGTCGCTCTTCCCTCGGCAGCCAGGTCTGTGTGTGTGTGTGTGCAGTGAGGGCACAGTCGCTCTTCCCTCGGCAACCAGGTCTGTGTGTGTGTGTGTGTGTGTGTGTGTGTGTGTGTGTGTGTGTGTGTGTGTGTGTGTGTGTGTGTGTGTGCAGTGAGGGCACAGTCGCTCTTCCCTCGGCAGCCAGGTCTGTGTGTGTGTGTGTGTGTGTGTGTGTGTGTGTGTGTGTGTGTGTGTGTGTGTGTGTGTGTGTGTGTGCAGTGAGGGCACAGTCGCTCTTCCCTCGGCAGCCAGGTCTGTGTGTGTGTGTGTGTGTGTGTGTGTGTGTGCAGTGAGGGCACAGTCGCTCTTCCCTCGGCAGCCAGGTCTGCCTGTGTCGGCCTGTCTCGATGCTCAGACTGTGTTCACTGAGTCTGTACATGCTCAGGACTTTCCTCAGTTTAGGGTCGCTCACTGTACTCAGGTATCCTGCCAATTCATATGTTCTGTTTAGGGCCAAATAGCATTCCAATTTACTCTGTTTGGCTGTCGCGTCTGTCCAATGTTTGACGTATTTTTCTTTTTGTGTTTTAATAATTTGGTTTGGTCTGGCTATGTTTTTATTGTCAGTTTGTGACGTCAGCTCTGAGACCAATCGGCCGAGGGCGTTCCTCTCTGGCTTCAGCTCTTGGTAGGCCAGGGCTTTGTGATGGAGGGTCTGTTCATCGCTATTTTTTAAGTGGGCATGGAATTTAATGGCTCTTTTTTGAATAGTTATTAAAAGGGGGTATAAACCTAATTCTGCTCTACAGGCATTATTTGGGGTTTTGCGCTGAACTCGTAGCAGGATTTTGCACAGCTCGGTCTGCAGAGTCTCCATTGGGTGTTTGTCCCATCTAGTGAACTCTTGGTCTGAGAGTGGACCCCAGACTTCACACCCGTACAGCGCGATGGGCTCTATTACTGTTTTGATTATTTTTAGCCAGATTCTAATTGGGATGTCAATTAGGATATTTCTCTTAATAGCATAAAAAGCTCTCCGTGCCTTGTCTCTCAAGTCGTTTACAGCTTTTTTAAAATTTCCTGTGTTGCTGATATTTATGCCAAGGTAAGTGTAGTCCTGCGTGTGTTCGAGGAGCATGTTGTTCAATTTAAAACTATGATCTTGGTCTTTGCGGCTGGGTCTTTTTTGGAAAATCATTATTTTTGTCTTTTTGGGGTTAACTGACAGGGCCCATGACTGACAGAAGCTGTGCAGGAGGTCTAGATGCTGCTGTAGACCCTCTTTAGTGGGAGACAGCAGCACCAGATCATCAGCGAACAGAAGGCATCTGACTTCAGTGTCCAGTAGAGTAAGGCCAGGTGCTGCAGACTGATCCAGAGCCCTCGCTAGCTCATTTATGTAGATGTTGAAGAGCGTGGGACTTAAGCTGCAGCCCTGTCTCACTCCACGACTCTGAGGGAGGAATTCTGTGTGCTTGTTACCAATTTTAACTGCAAATTTGTTGTTTGTGTACATAGATTTGATGATGTCATATGCTTTTCCTCCAATGCCGCACTGGATTAATTGAAGAAAAAGACCTTCATGCCAAATGGAGTCAAATGCTTTTTTGAAGTCAACAAAGCATGAGAAAATTTTACTTTTGTTTTGGTTGATTTGCTTATCGACTAAGGTATGGAGAGTGTATATGTGGTCTGATGTGCGATATTTTGGTTGGAAGCCAATTTGACACTTGTTTAGAACATTTCTGTCTCTGAGAAAATGGGCTAGTCTGCCGTTAAGGATGTTGCAGAAAAGTTTGCCTAGGTTGCTGTTTACACATATACCACGGTAGTTATTAGGGTCAAATCTGTCTCCGTTTTTATGGATTGGGGTAATAAGACCTTTGTTCCAAATGCTGGGGAATATACCTAAACTCAGGATGATATTGAAGAGCTTTAGAATGGCTAATTTGAATTTGTGGTCTGTGTATTTAATCATTTCATTTAGGATGCCATCGATACCACATGCTTTTTGCAATTTCAGGGTTTGTATTTTGTCTAATAGTTCGGTTAGTGTTATTGGGGAGTCTAATGGGTTCTGGTAGTCTTTGATGGTTGATTCTAAAACCCTTAGTTTGTCATATAGGGCATTTTGTTCCTGATTTCTGTTTATATCACTAAAGAGGTTGGAGAAGTGGTTTACCCAAACATCTCCATTCTGGATAGCTAGTTCTGGATGGTAGGGTTTGTTTAGTGTGTTCCAATGTTTCCAGAACTGGTCGGATTCTAA